TGGAGATGTCGTGTATAGGTTTTATAATTTATTTGTATGTATCTCAATAGCAGGCCCATACGGAGGATTTAACGCGTATCAAAATCTCTTACCCCTAAATTTTAGTTAATGAAATAATGAGTAAACTATAAAGGTTATACGTATTATTCAAACTTCCTATTTGTTTTCCTACTACAATAGTAATGTAAATATGCTATACTATAGGAAGAACGCCTTGCGTAAAATTCCTATAAGTACTCGTACTATTCGGAAGAACCTCTGTTTACCTCTAATGTATACTTGCATAGACACTCAACCGATTTGGAGTGAATAAATCTGAATATTCTACTTATTTACAATACTCTTAATCGTTTTCATTATCAAATGAATTTGTCAAGAAGTCAGAGCCTAGAGGATCTTACGGGACAGGTTCTTACGTTCCGTAACCTTCTGTAGAGAAAACAGTACTATGTACATTCTTTTTAAAACTTCAAAGTAGTCAAAGAAATTACATTTTAAAAGCTTAATGTTTTTAATTGTGGCGGAACGGGTGTCATGTCCCTCCAACACAAAGGGAGGATCCTCCGACCAGGCGAGGTGATCATGCCTGGTGGGCCGTGGCCCAGCGGTTGATGTTAGGCTGTTGTATATATGCTAATCGGCGAGAGAATTCTGCATATTCTGAGTTACTCCGTAGTTCGGTGTCTTCATTAGATGGTGTGCTGTGGTGTGACTGCAGATTGGTATGTCAACACTTGCTTGCCCAGTGTCTTAGAAAAAGTTAGCGAAAAGCGTCATAGAAGAAATGTCCTCCTTCACCACGATAAGACATCCTCACATTCCGCTAAGGTAACAGAAGCCTATCGCCGACGCATCGCGATGACGCATCCGCCTTACAGCCCGGACCTCGCACCCTGCGACTTCTTTTTGTTTCTAAAAATTAAAGACAAACTTAGAGGCACACGTTTTAAAAGCCTTGATTCGGCGGTGAATGCGTTTCATGAAGCCATTAAAAAGGTCCCTAAGAAGACTGGTCCAACTGCTTTGTACAGTGGTTTCAGCAAATGCAAAAATGCATTAATATACTTTGAAAACAATAAATGTATCGTAATCGTCGTCTTATATCTAGTTTTATTTGTCAGAATCCAGAAACTTTTAGTATGCCCTAAGTAACAGCGCCGGTGATTAAAATTCAATCAACGTTGTTCCGCTACCGTCTGTTAGTTAATCTACTTATTTACCTACACATCTACTGAGTGCAAAATCTTAAAAATCAAACCTCTAGTGTTATTTATATCATACATCACTAAATAATTACCTTGACAAACCAGTAGAATATCACTTAAGGTTGCCACAAAACAAAGAAGTACCTATAAACTAAGTCCAACTCGGCAAAGCTATTATTTATTATTAGCTTTATGACAACCCTAGATGATGACCGATCATGTTAATAGCATTTCCATGTTTCGATTAGTATGTTTGATTAATATGTATTCCATATGTTTGTGTTTCAATGATCAGTATTATGGAAATATTTTGTTAATTGGTGGAGATATTAGGAATTTGATTGATTTTAGATGCTGAAAATACAATATGTTGGTTTGGTTTTGACGGGCCTGTTGGTGTAGTGGTTAGTGACTGCTAAGCCGGAGGTCGTGGGTTCGATTCCCACCCAGGACAAATATTATGTGATAAGCACGATCATTTGTTTCTTTCAATACCGTGACATTGAAATTTTGTTTCAAGTAAAATCTAGCTATAAAAACTGGCCATTTGCGTATCTCGCCAAAAGCAATGTAAAGTTTATGTTTTTTTTTTAAATTGTGAAATAGGAGGAACAAATAATTAACACTAAGAAAATTGTGCAGTTTAAATAAAGTCGTGTTTAATTAAATTTGTTTTACTCAAGATTAATAACTTTTAAATTTAAAGTAAAATTTTACTTACAGGGGTAGAAAATTAAAAAATGAAGAAAACAGCTTATTACAATTTATCGTGATTGAGGCGTATCAACATCTGTGATATTTTTTAAAAGTGAATTAAATAGGTTGGTATAAATAATGTTAACCAGACTTTCACTTACAGCACTAGTGCAGTAAGGTGATCCATTATTCTTTTCAATGAAAACAATATAACAACAACAACAATATAAAAAAAGAAATAATAACAATAGATAAAATATTTTATTTTGAATAAATGAAATAGGTAAATCTCAAATTAAAAGTAGGTAAATAAAATACTTGCAAAACCGATATTCGCTGCAATGTTTTAACTTTATTAACTGAGAGGAAATTTTGTGACCTTTCATAAAACTTTTGCTACTGAATAGTCTATTAATAATAATTGCTTGTTTGACATAATATGACCTGTCACTAAAATGAAAATAATTTGCTGTTTAAATGTTAACAGTGCATTGTGTCGACGTTCAATTGTTGCATCGTGAGTCGACGTTCATTTTTCAGTTTTTCGTTTTGATTACTATCTAACGATATTTTTTATGAACTGTGAACTACTCGTACTATAATACGATATAAATATTGATTAAAATATATTTCAAATAGGTAATATTTAAAAGAAAGAACATAAATCCAAAGGTGTCTCCTAATGTTGGTTCCTTTTACGAGAACTTGCTGTAATAAGCTTCTGTTCTTTCTTTTCGACGCTGTACTAGAGGCATAAACATTTCAAAATTTCTTGTGAGGTACCTATCCAAGATCTGCTACGAAGGTTAAAAATTTAGCAAACAATTTAGTAAAACATCGAAATATTTCAATTTGATCCCACATAGGTATCAAATCTCAATGATAATAATATTGTGGACCTACAGCAAACATGATTTGTTTAATTTAATTATATGTTTATGTGCATTGACCATAAACCGTTAACAGTAACTTGTAAGTGTGGTTTACCTAGACTTAGGTACCGTATTTAACAGAATATATTCATAGCTGTAAGATCAAGTTGCTTATCTTAGCTATATCCTGTGAATATGAGTACCTGTACCTTTTGAATGTGTATCTACACTATCTACTGCAAAACTTGTTCTGCAGTGAGAAGAACCACGTACATATCAGTGTATATTAAATTAATTCCTATCACATACCACACTCGTAACCAATAGTCGCTTTCACGAACTTTTTAATTTGATGTTAATCATTTTATTTGTTTATGATCATTTTATTGGATTTAAGTTGCAATTTAATATATATACCTACCCCTAATTTAATTAATAAAAAAAATACATATTATATATTTTATGCATACATCGATATATTATTCTAATTAAGGGTCTACGGTAATCAATAAACCCTTAAGTAAATTAACAAATCATAAATGTAGAATATCATTTTACAAATATTTACATAAGGTCTGATCAGTAAATGTAATCAATTTTATAATTTCCCAGCAATTTAATGGAAGATATTAGCGAGTGAATACCGAAAAGTAATATAAAATACATAACATCTATCTTTCGCATTATTCTTTTTAAAAACTTCACACATCTCAGACACACATCTAAGCTAGGCTGAGCGTGTGCTATGGTAACCAGATCAGTCCAATTACTGAAATACATACTTATTTATTATACTCTAAACACATAGGTACATATTACATTAGCATTATTTGCATTTCATCATCATCTTCCTACCCTTTTCCCAAATTTATTGGGGTCGTCGGTGCAATGAATTTTCTTCTTCGATTTTCTTTGCTATTGGAAGTAGGTACATAATTCAACAAATAAAATTCGTAAACATTCACATTTATTACAATAAAAGGAAATGCATCCTTAAAAAAAATGGTATTGAAATATTTTTTGCGCAGGCAGTGTATAATCACTTCATGGTTCTAACCCGAAGCAAATCAAATGCCAATGTGGGCCTTCATTGTGGATTAATACTTCCCTAACCTGTCTTTACTCAGGCAGAAAGATATAATAAGAATTATCATAGAAGACAGATATAGGCATAAAAAAATTAAAAAGAAAGCAGTACACTAAAATGTTTGTCGCCTTAATCATTTGGGATTATTCTTGTTTTAAACAAAAGCGAATTTGGTAAGTATATCTACTCTGTACTTAAATAATATACTCACTGTACCTAATAATAGTTAGCCAGAGTTTTTGGTTGATCGTTTGTTTTTCAACGCTTTCCTCTGGAACTATGAGTCAGATTTTAACAATTAAGAGACAGACAGACTCAATGAAAACTATCCGATAGAGTATTAATTGAGAAAGACTATGTAACATTACGTTATGGTCCACGAGTGTATTTGTGACGCTAAACGCAGGTAAAACTGTGGCGAAAAGCTGGTTGACAATATCTTTATATAGTTTTTGTGAAATCATCAACTGATCATAAATCATAGGCATCGATATGCGAGTCGTGAGTAATTGTGACTAACTTAAAAAAATTGTAACACTAAGTAAAACTTTTTGAAATTAAAGCTGGCTTTTGTACCCTTCTTCCATCGCGTATCTAACAAGTATTTTTCTATCATTCCGGTCGGGAACAGTGATTTTATGAAAAGAGATCTTATGTTATTTTCTGTTTCCTTGTCAAGCCTTTAACAGTCCACTGCTGGACATAGGACTCTCCTTAGAAAGGAGGTTTATCCAAATATCTTAATCTATTTTGTACTTAGGTGTGAAACCGGTACCTACATACCTACAAATAAACAAACAAACTCACTTTAGCAGTTATACTATAATAGTTCGGATTCTTACCTGTTTATTAAACATCTACACATCTTATCCAAAGTTATCTTTCAGATATTATTACTAATATAATAATAAATAATAAGGACTTTCAAAAAAATAGGTATAGGTACCTAAGTATTCCCTTTTTATCATTTCTGATCAATGGTAAGGTTACACGTAATCCAACGTATAATACCCATAAATAGTTCATTGTAATTTATATCCATAACTAAGTAGTTTCCCATCTTTAATTTATAAATATAAAATAATTTGTTTATTACCTCATTACTAAATCATACCTAGACATAACATAATTAAAACTTACCATGATTGACAGAAGTCTGTAACAGAATGTGGCTCAGAATCCTTCAGTTCTATTGTAAAATCACAATACACAAAAATATAAAAATAATTTTCATTACTTTCCCGCCAAAATCGGTCGAAGATTTACGCATGCGCGACGATACTACGCCTCTAAACTTCTACTCACGCCACGCTAGGCACTTACAACCTCTCACAAACCGAGTGATCTCCCGGGAGAATCAAGGCACTTAATACGCCTTATGAAAGTGATGGCCGTGGAAGGTTAGAATTTTGTACCGACAATCATTTACAATGCTTTTACTGTCCGTTGAACTATTCTTAATCTACCTTGCTACATAGGCTGAACGACGCCAAACAGGTCATACTCAACTGGTCTAGTTTATCGCAGAAAGCGCATTGGACTGCGTGACTCGAGTGGAGATGTGTGCGGAAAAGTTTAGATACTTGTATTATTATGTAATCGACAGAACTACTTAGTATCTGCAGATACATGCATCGTATGACGCCTTGCATGTCACGTGTAATAGGAATACTTACATAGTATTCAAGAAACTCAAAAGCTTGTCATCGTTTAAACGTTCACAACTTATGTCTCCAATTTGTTTTAAAGCATTACCTGTTTATTAACTTTAAATAAATTGCATCCTCCGCTATTTTAAAATCTACGTCAATAAGCTCTTCAAAAAGTACCATTGTTTTTAAAGTCACAATTTTTGGATTGAACCCCATAAAAATCTAACGGAAATCTAAATGATGTATTTTAAATTAAGAACGTAAGTACATAAGAGTTATTAGACACACGACAACAAGTTTGCGGCATTGAAATGACAGGGTTCACTTAATTACTTATTGTTACTCTTGTTCTTCTTTTTATATAATTTGCGGAAAATTGTAAAGAATCTTCATGTTCCAAAACGAACACTAGGGTACCTAACCTTGCAACAAACCAGACACCTATTCCAGACACACCAAAATGTTATCCTGGTAGCCATTCTACGTTTTAACGCGATAAGGCACTAAACGGATTTAAATAAAAACTTACATTATTTGACTTCAAAGTACGAGGACTTGACTTCAAAGGACATATTAAACAGACCTTGACTGCGGTAAAATAAGATTTCTAATATAATTTAATTTAATTTCGATGAGAAAGTAACAATTTATTCAGTTAATGGATATAAAAAATTATGATATGCATGTAAAAAATCTACCTAATTATAGAGTTTATTGCGACATTTTCAAGTTTTATAGTTTTATAGTTGAATATGTATGATTAATTTCAACGAAATAATTCACATGGAACAAAGAATCGATTTCAGACACAGTTGTAAAATTGTTTCGGTACTAGTTTTTACAACTTGTACAGGATTAGTGTAGGAATTAAAAAGCCTGGTCTAGGTCAAATGGGTTTTTCTTTGCAACACTAAAGTAGCTAAAGTAGCTAGCTAGAGCATTTCAGTATAGTCGTAACCATTTGAATTGTTTCTAAAAGTTATGATTACACATACCTACGGTAAAAGTAGCACCCCTCCTCTTTGAGTCGTGGTTAAAAATGGCATTATTTAAAAGTTAGGACATAACCCTATGAATTAATACCATGTCGGTTCATAGGAAATACAAACATTTAATACATTTATATCCATAATCATTAATGACATATTTTCTGTGGCATGTGATTCTAAAATAAAACCTTCTTTGTGGAAACTAAGTATAAACCTTCTTAGTTTCCACAAAAAAGGGTTTATTATTTCTATGTAAAAAGGACGACGATGACTATCAATAGGGTACTTTCGGTAGTGAAAACTAAATTATGAAATTTGATAAAAATTAAAACTTATGTAGAAATGTACTTAAATGATTTTGAGTCATAGAAGCAGTTTATTGTTTTATTATAATAAAATTAAGTCGTAATTTTTAATCTGTATATCACGTGACCTAAAACACGAGCTGCCGTGTTGTGACGTCATATAGGCAAAAACTATCAGTTCAGTGTAAACAACTAGGTACATACCTATCAACTTAAACTTTAAGAAGTAATAATTGTGTTCTTTGGTCAGTACATCTTATTTGTACCCTTTTAGTGATTAAAATGCAAACTGGTTTTGTAAAAGCAAATAGTACAAATCTGCCAAAAATTTATTCAATGATGGTTGCAAAGTTCTTGACATTTAACCCAGACTTCTGTTCTGCCGAATTCCGGAATGTTAAAACATCTGTGAGTATTACTTGTTATATGTATTAGACTGTTTTTCTATGTAAGTGCCGGGTATACCTAATGAGAAAAAAAATATTGGAACGTGTGTTAAAATCTTAATGGGGTGGGGTTTACTTTCATTTGAACATGTTTTACAAACCCCATTATTTTGTATTCCATATAATTCTCCATATCCTGTTCCAACTGAAATAATATGCATTAATTAGGTACTAATTTGTTGATGGCTTTCATAGTAATTGTAGGTTATCTTACCATCAACTTTATTTATACCTACATATACAGGAAAAAGACAAAGTATTGAAATGATATATACTCGTACATACAATCGACTTTTAGTTGATAATGACTTAGGATCTCGTTTTGCGAGTTCCAACCAAACATTTCTTAATATCATCTGGCACTTTGATAAACAACTTTTCTGAAAAGCTATTATTTGTACAACTAGACACTACACACCAACGATAGCTATCGTAATTCATTATTTGCCCAAAAAACACCAAATATTTATAGCTTTTTACGTTGAATGAGTGCCGGTCGTACGTGCACGACTGTTGCTTTTACCAATAAGACGTCACCAAAATGGCTGACATCGTTTTCGCGGGAATAAAAAAGGTTTAAAATTTAATTTAATTTTATGGCAAGAAAACGTGTTTATTTTGCCGAAATATTTTTTTTGTGGATTTTTATTAAGAAACCCAACAGTTTGAAGTACTTTTTCAAACATAGTAAATTACCCTATTAATAACGTATAGTCATAGCTCATAACATGCGGAACAAATAATATATGTCACAGGCAATCTGTATAATACGGTATTCTATACAATACCTAGGCAATGTATAGACTACCTAAGCCGTCTAGGCAATGTATGAAATATTTTTCATTTCATACTTTTCCTAGGCATTCTATACAATACCGAATGCGCTGCCGGCAATATGTGTTAAAGACGATAGCAGGAAAGGGGGAGTGCGGGCAGGCAGTAAACGCGTTGCGACTTGTTCATGTGTTAAAAGAAAGATTTTATGCACTTTAAAATATTGTCACAATAGTTCTTTATGTAAAAATAAATAATATTCTTTTACTTACTATTCTGAGAAGCCAGTATATCACTTCCTATTTTTACAGTTTTTTTTTTGTTGCCTAATTTTTTTAACTGATTACTTATGAGTAAATTAGAATATGTTAGTTAACCCAGAAGAATTTTAAGTTCAATGTTATTTGGTTGAGATTTTACTATAAATTTTACCTTTGAATAAATATTGTTTTTAATCAGAACTAACTACCTACTTACTAATTGTTAATTTTAATAAAGTTGATTTTAAGCAAATCTAATGTGTTATTTTTGTCTGTCATTTTATACCCTCCTACTTACTTAAATAACATTAATAAATACAGGCCCAACTACAGTTAATTTACAGATTGCCGGTGGATCAACAATTACTCTATACAATACCTAGGAATTGTATACATTACCTAGGTAAAGTATATAATGAAAACTAATATTCATAATATTTCATACATTGCCTAGACGCCTTAGGTATTCTATTCTATACATTACCTAGGTGTTGTATAGAACACCTGAATTATACAGATTGCCGGTAACATATACAAACACTACCATAGATATACATGAACACTACATTTTTTTGGATTCAATTTACATTGGAATCATTTATAGGGAAATGTCGTATTTTTTGACATTTGGTATTATAATATGTCTATGTTTATGTTGCAAAAAATTATAAATGTATAAATTAATAAATAATGTTAGGAATGAACTTTTTGAAGAATTTGTTGATATTTTAGATATAATATCACTAGAGAGTCTCAGTCTATATGATAAAATTACGGATAACCTGATCACTATACTGCGAGGGCGGTTGAGACGGCCTCGATGTGGTGATAAGTTTTCAGTCTGAATTGACAAGGTGACTATTGTTCCAAATTCCTGTAACCGAAATTAAAAAACATGGCAGAAGAAGTACCCGCCGATACTGTTACTGATATCACTGAAGGTAAAATATGAATATATTTTTCGTCTTCATATTCATATTACCGTAACAAATGTATAATAAAGTTTACTATACTTCTAAACAGATGACAAAACTAAACCCACCGAAGATACGGAACACGGCAAAGGGGAACATATAGAAGGTGAAGCTGTAGAGGGTGTTGAAGGTGAGCATATTGAAGGTGAGCATGTTGAAGGTGAGCATGTTGAAGGCGAACATGTAGAAGGTGAGCAAGTTGAAGGCGAGCAAGTTGAAGGTGAACATATCGAGGGTGAACATGTTCAAGGTGAACAAACAGAAGGTGAACAGACAGAAACTGAAGGCGAAGAAAGAGTTTTAGGAGAGGGAGAAGAGGTCATGGGTGAGGGCTTAGAAGTCGAACAAGCTCCTGAAGTTGTAGAAACAAAAAAAGAGGAGGAAATGATAGTGGAAGAAGAAGAGGCATATGTTGAACCACCACCACCAGATCCAGCAGCCCCTTATGACTTAAGTGATTCGAAAGAACTTTTAAGAGAACCTTTTTCCTTACGACCTGATCAATTAGCCGAAGTAGAACAGCTCTGGGCATTTTATCAAGATTACACTCCAGCTTATACTGATATAGATAACTACATTACGAAAAAAGAATTAATATATATGCTAAAAGCTCTTATGCTAACAACCCATACACCGGAACAATTGGATGAGCTCATAGCATATTGTGTTAGGCCGCCACATCCTAAAGGACATATTACATTCGATCAGTTTCTCAAGATGGTGACGATTCGGCAAAGATCAATGGTCATAGAAGAAGAACTGCGTGCTGCGTTGCAACTTCTTGATCCTGGAAAAACTGGTTCAATGGATCGTGAGTTCTTTAGGGAACTGCTACTTACAAGTGGTAATAAGATGACCCCGAAGCAAGTGCAGACCCTCATCAAAGAAGTAGACATCGCTAACGATGGTACTATTGGAGTAGAGGATGTCGTTGGCACAATGGGAATCGACTTAAACACAGAGGACATAATAATGTTAAGACAAGCGGTGTATGGAAGAGATACCCCCGCTGTGGATGAAGAAGAAGATTGAAAGTTTTTTTTTTCAAACCACAACACACAACACAATTATTTAATTAAATTGGTATAAATTAATAAACTTTGTTTGCTTCTAGTCTAATTTATGTCTTGGGAGAAAACGCTTTTTTTGTGGAATAAGGTGCAAACGAGCAGGCGGGTCACCTGATGGAAAGCGACTACCGCCGCCCATGAACGCCTGCAACTCAGGAGTCACAAGCGCGTTGCCAGCCTTTGAGGAAGGAGTACGCTCTTTACTTGAAGGTTGGAAGTGCGAAGCATAAAGTGTCAGCGTTGTGAGCGTTAAAGTCGCTAAGAATCACGATCTCTGCAGCTGGGATCTGCTGCAGCATAGAATCTACAGATTCTATGCATGCCTCTATAGGCTACAGCCTATAGAGGCATGCATAGAGGCGGGGATGGTCGTCGCTGTTCACACGGAGCAACAAAATAGAGAGGTCCCGTTCTTCAAGATTGCCGAGGCGGCGAGAACTGATATCATCTCTGACGTAAACGCACACTTCAGCGTCTCGGTTAAAAAGAGCAAGACCGGCTTTACTGTCTCGAGGTGGTGGTGGACAGCATTGAGGTTGGAGTTTAAACCCCTGATGTTGCAGAAGTCTACGTCAAGCGTGGTGAGGGGTGCCACAGTCTTGTCGCGAGTAGGTGTCTTGTTGAGCGCAGTTGTGCGTCAAATAAAAAATAATAATTAAAACCCTATTTTTAAGAAAATGTAAAATTAATAGCCTATTTTAAAAAATAAATATGTTTTTCGTATTTTTTTAATGGTTAAACAAAAAAGCATCTTTAAGAACAACTTATTATTCACTGAATTCAGAAACGCCCCCCTCCCCCTCCCTAATCTCGCCCCAGTCCGGCAGCATGTCAAGATAACAGTTATTCGTAGACATTATATTAACTTAGTAACTGGAACTGCCACTAAAAATCCACATTTTTGGGAAAACCTATTTTTGCCCTAAATTCAAATACTAGACTGAGAAAACGTGTTCAACGTCCAGGAAAATGCAAGAAAATGCAAGTCTAAGAAGGTACCGATTTACATCCCATTCTGATAAAACGCTTGTGCGGCGAGAGGCAAAACATACCGCGAGGCTACCATTCAACAAGGATTCAGTGGTTGGGTACAAGGTAACCCTATAAATACTAGGCGCTTTAATTTTACGGGCTTTGGAAAAGACCAGCAGCCGGATCTAGCCTTATCGCTATTAGTGTTAAAATCGCCATCGATCCTTCAATGAATAATAGCTCGTACTCGATGGGATTTCGGATATCACTGCCGGAATCTGGCCCCAAGCTTATGAAAATAGCGGCTGTTTTGTCTGGCTTACTGCCTAACTGTTTCCGAAAATCCGATTCTTTTTTAATACGAGTTCCGACTAACGTTGTAGAAACGGCTCGTGATATCAACGCTGCGTTTTGGAGAGGAGACTGCTAATGAACGCACTGTGCGTTTTGGTTTAAACGCTTTCGTAATGGGAACTTCGACATGAAGAACGAACCACGTCGAAGACTGACCACACAGGTGCATTACGCTGAATTGAAGGAGATGGTGGAAGCCGGTCCGAGTCAAACTACCCAATAATTAGAATTACCATGGCCAGACGGGTTGGTATAGGGTTTGTTTCAAGTTTTCCTTCTCTTTGCAGTGCTGTTGTTCTGTGTAGTTTGTAGCTCCCTTCGTCGGCTCTTACGACACCCACGGATGAATAGGGGTGGTGACATTCCGTATTCTTAATCTTCTTCCGTATGCCGTTGGGCGACTTTTGCCTCATCTTGGTGAACCCAGCGTCGCGACGAGACGACTGTACACGGGGGTTGTACGGTGCACCGGTGTGGAGGAACGGGTGTCATGTCCCTCCAACACAAAGGGAGGATCCTCCGACCAGGCGAGGTGATCATGCCTGGCGGACCGCGGCCCAACGGTTGATGTTGGGAAGTTGTATATATGCTAATCGGCGAGGAAATTCTTTATATCGCGATACAGGATTAGCAACTTTTATTTTAGTAGTTACTCCGTAGTTCGGTGTGTCTTCATTAGATGGCGCTGTAGTATGTTTCTGTTTCTTTGTATGTGGGAGTCGCCACATCACTACCCTCCAAGACCGGAGGTCGATATATGATGAGTCAGCTGTCTATGCCTTGTTGTGGAGCGTGCCATTGCCAGTAGTGAGTAGTTCCAGTGAGTCGGAACTGAGTGCCGCTAGTTCCAGTGGGTCGGAACTGAGTGCCGCTAGTTCCAGTGAGTCGGAACTGAATGCCGCTAGCCCCAGTGTCCGCTGTTCCCAGTGAGTCGGGATGGCGTGCGGTGCGCGGTGCTGCGGTGAAGACTCCAGTGAGTCGGGGCGGTTGCTGCGTAGTGGCTGGCTGCTGCGTAGACGGGAGAGACAATGCTCTTCTTACGTGGACCGTAGGTGCAGTGTGCTGTGCCTAGACGCTGATGAGGCCGTAGAGGTAACCAGGCTGGAGCGGTCGCTACCTGCGTGTGGTATCCCTGTAGAGGCCGAGGTTGCTGGCTGGCTGAGACTTGATTACTGCTCATCGCTGTGGGAGTGTACACGATGGTGCTGCTGATGATCTGCTCCTTTTGAAGGCTGCTTCCAATCACGTCGGGGTCACCACTGTGGAGGAACGGGTGTCATGTCCCTCCAACACAAAGGGAGGATCCTCCGACCAGGCGAGGTGATCATGCCTGGCGGACCGCGGCCCAACGGTTGATGTTGGGAAGTTGTATATATGCTAATCGGCGAGGAAATTCTTTATATCGCGATACAGGATTAGCAACTCTTATTTTAGTAGTTACTCCGTAGTTCGGTGTGTCTTCATTAGATGGCGCTGTAGTATGTTTCTGTTTCTTTGTATGTGGGAGTCGCCACACCGGTATGGACGGCGGCCCTGACCGCCCAAAATAGAGCAAGCCTTTGGCGCCCTCAGACGGTATTGGCGGTTAGAGCCATACGCGGTTACAGCACCGTGTCGCCGGAAGCAGTGTGTGCGTTGGCCGGAACTCCTCGGGATTTGCAGACGGAAGTGCTCGCCGAAGTATATCGGCGGACGACTGAGTTCCTGGCGGTTAGCGGCAGTCGGCTCCCGCCTTAAGGCGTACGCGAGTGGCGCAAGGCCGTTCGTCGAGCCACGATGGCTCATTGGTCGTCCCAGCTGGGGGCTCCACGTGCTAGTTTTGCCGCAGTGGAAGCGCTCCAGCCGGTCATCGTCGTTGTTTGTCATTGATAAATTTTATTTACATATTAGTGACACATAAAAGAGATTATGTTCGATTGAGATATTAATTAGGACGTATTACAGATTTTATAAGGCGAAAACTAACCTCAAACATTTCTGGAGTTTTGAGTAACATTTTGTAATACGACTCTGAGATTTATTTGTTTGTAGATACTTAATTGTTGTTGAATTACATTCTATACCCCTACCTACTACTACTTACATTTTACCGTTTTTAACCACCCATAAAGCTTATACTAACTTTAACTTTAACATTATAATAGTGGGTTTAGGTGGTATGTAGGTTCCCTGTATGTAGGTGGTATGTTGGTACCTGGTTCCCCGGCTAATAGTACCCAAGACGGCGTGCGGTTTTAGTCGGTTCGAGTCCGACATGCCACCGATAGGTGGTATCCGAGGGGATTTCCGCACGGAAAAAAAAAAGAAAAAAAAAGGTGGTATGTAGGTATAAGAAGATAAATGGCTAATAAAATAGTATTTGTTCTGTGTCTGGGTGTAATTTATCTATAATAATATATGTGTGTATTTAGAAAAAATCTGCTGTCTGGTTACCATAGTACAGGTTCTACGTAGTTTGGGACCAGACGGCCGTGTGTGACAGTGTAAAAGTTATCATTATTACATATCTATATATTCAACAAAATAAATCAAAGAAAATATTAGTCATTTTCAACATTCTTTTTCTTAATGCTTTCAAATCGTAGAACAGTAAAGTATATGCACTTCTCTGAATTATTTTGTACCATTTTTTGGAAGTTTTAGTCTGACGTGGTGTGTTTTTTTAGAAATCGTACTTGGCAACACTGCTACCACTAGCTAGTAGCGATGAAAAAAAATCATAATCTCCTGTGATAAATCATATGATTTACACACATCTGACTAATTTACAAAACCACTGACACTTATTATTATTATTACGCTAGTTTCAGACTCGTGTCAAAAATAACATGGTCTAAATCTGAAATAATTTTGATTGATATTAATGGCATTTATCTTTGTCTATGACCAAATCTCAATCACATGTGAAATCACTGCGACTAAGAACAATCATTTAAACAAATAAATGTGATTTTAGAGTAGCAATAATTTTCATGTCTGCTTGGTAGTTTTAGTTTACCTACTGGTTGTCATTTCCATTCAGCTTTATTTACGTGTTTATTGAGTGAAACTAAGTTAGACTTCACCGATGTTGACGAAGTTTTTAAATTTATAAAAACTTTTTGTTATTCACCTATTATAAACCATGAAGTTTTACATATTTTTACTCAGTTTAACATTATTTTTTAATGACTGTAAGTTATTTGAAACTATATTGGGTGTGGTTTAACGTTTTGAATAGTTAATGTAACCGTAGCCGGCTATTGTGTTGTACTTTTGCTGAATTGGCATTATTAAATAAAAAAAGCAATTACTTTTACCGAATTTTGCCTTGAAAGTTCATTTATTTTTATTAGGTTTAACATTATGGTGTTATCAGTGCACCAGTGCTATACCTGGATGTATGGAACCATTTAATTGGCGTGGTGTTGGTTACCTTGGAAATCCATGCCCTGATTCTGAAGATATCTGTGTGAAACTGATTGAAAGAAAAGGAGGTAAATATCATAAGTTTTTTTGGGAAAATTAACAAAAGAAGGTTAAATAAGGTTTTTTAGATTGAAGTCATGAAAAATTGATAGTGTATATTATTTAAGTATAACTTAAATATAACTTAAATAATATAGACTATACTAACCTTCTTTCTAAGGAGAGACCTATGTCCAGCAGTGGACTATTAAAGGCTGTTGATGTGATGTGATCTGAATATACACTATCAATTTTTATCAAATAATCTTTCTTAAAAAAAATATTTTCTGATTTTTAGCTCAAACATTCATAACAAGGGATTGTTTAAGTAACTTTAGAGCATTCCGGACTGATATACCAGCTGATACATATGAGGGGTGCCGTCCAGCCGCTAGAGATGTTAATTTGGCCAACTATGTTAATAATACTATCAAAGAACTAGATATTAAAAGGTGAATAAACATTTGTCTGGTTGAGAGTAACATTATAGTGTTAATAATAATTTTTATGTGAATATTTAACACTGAAAGCCAATGATAGTTAGAAGGGAATTCAAGCTAGCTTCTATTTTTGACCTGCATGACCTTACAGTTTGAAAGCCCTATAAGTGCACTAAGAATGCTATAAGAAATTAGTACTGTCATATTTGCCTGAATGTATGGACTGGCTGGTCTAGGTGGTCTAGTGGTTAGTGACCCTAAGTGCTATGCCAGAGGTTGTGGGTTTGATTTCCACCCAGGACAATAATTGTGTGATGAGCACAATCATTTCTTTCGTGTTTGGGTGTAATTTATTTATCTCTGCTTAAATTGGAATCAGATGGCTTTGTGTGTGATTTGTAAAGATATTATTATTAAAAAATATCATAGTAATTCAAATAGCCTTATAATTTTTTATTGGAACATGGATGTGCTACTTTTATTTAATTTATATTTTCAGGGACTGGTATGATGAAACAACTTGGTGTTTTTGTTTCCTTGATCATAGATGTAATGGGGCATCAAGCATATCAACTACAATGGCATTACTAATTCCTACATGTATGGTACTTTACTATTCACTAAAATATTGACAATGATACTGTCAGGAAATTGTATCACTAAGCCTATATACTTGGCCCAATATGTTAATTGTGCATGAATTACATTTAAAAAGTTATCCAAAGTAATCAATTTCAGTTTACCAGGTAGCTCATTAAATTGTTACTCATAGTTAAGACTCCTGAAAACAACTATTGTCAATCAAGGACATGAATCTCAAGTAGGCTTGCCAACAACTCTGCAGGAGTTGGACCCTTTACATGGCAGTTTTAACATTCACTTAAAGATACAAACTATTAACAGGATAATTTATAGACTTTATTAAATCTTAATATCTGGTTTTAGTGAACACTAAAAATTCACAAAGAATGTTTAGCAAATTTTTCATCCTGGAAATGCGCTCATGAGTAAGTCAGAAAAGTATCCTAAATTGATTCTGGTTGAACTTTCTTGAATACATTAAATAATTAAGGGAAAATTGTTGCTCTGCATCCTGTTATGTAGTTTGGTGAGAACAGAATGTGCTTTGTTTTTCATGCCAACCAACTCATTATCAATATTAAAAAATGTGTTTTTCCTGCAACTTCACTAATTTACATTCCAACATTTTTGAAGGTTGGCAAGCCTAAATCAATTACTTTATAACTTTTGATAAATGCATTAGATATTTTCTCTGTTCTAAAAATGTGAATATATAAATTGTGTTGTCCTTATCTATTAATGAGTTGTGTTATATTAATAACTGACGGCAGCCCTTAGTATAGATTATAAATTTTTATATAGGAATAATGATGGCAATATATTATGTGTAGCTATATTATCCAAGATGATATTGAGATTACCTTCCGTCCATTTAAAGAAAAATAAGATGCATTTGGTTAACTAAGTAAAAGGAAATTTTTGCAGAGTGAGAGTTTTGTAGTCTATGTAATTTTGAAGTAAGTCTCGCCACTGTTATTAAAGATTTAGTGCGAATTATTCAGATTTAATAATGATTAGTCCTAAACAAAATTACCTCTGTGAAAAAATTCTTCTAAATTCGGCCTTTATGTTGCCGAAAACTTGTGTATGTAACAAACTGTGTTAACCACAACCTGTTTACAATACTATTTCTTAGATGGCCTGAGGTACGTCGGTGTACCAGGAATTTCTAGGGTAAACCTTGTTCCCCGGCTACTGGTACCCGAGACGGCATGTTAGTCGGTTGGAGTCCGACATAACCACCCCACCAGTGGGTGGCAACTGAGGGGATTGCCGCTCAAAATAAAAAGGAGTTACTTTAATTCCACAAATAATAAAAGTTGTATCTTATTTATTGTAGAATCACCAATAATTGTATAAATGTAATAAAGTTTTTTTCCAATTGATATATATATATATAAGTAAGAAAATAAGTTAAATGTCATGTCATGTATTAATTATAATAATTAGTTATTACATTTTAAAGCCAACAGTTTAGTTTGTCATAGAGAGAGCACTCGACTCTAACAAAACCACATCTGAAAATAGTTTTCAAACCCCCATAATGATTTTTGAAAAATCTATCTAAAGATAGTAGCGTTTGACAGTTCTGACGTAGTACACGCTACGAGTATTTTACAGTATATAGACAGACGAGATAAAAAAAAACATCCACACTTTATATGTAATGATGACTTACCGTACGATCGATAAAACAATCATGCTTTTATGACCTTAATCTAAATGTGCTAAAATGAAAACATCAACAACTACTTAGGTGCCTAATTATGTAAATGTTACCTTTATTACTATTAACCGAATGCACCCTATTTTAATTAGTTTGTAAGTACACGTGTGTTATATATGTGCCTGATCAATATTTAGTAGTAAAAGACTACATTATAGATACCTATCTGAATACTATTATTTTTCTTTACGTTAGCTGGACTATTTTAAAAATTGACAGTTTTTTTTTTAACTTTTGTGTGAACACATTTATGTCATAATAAAATACGACTGATTCTTACAATAAACACTTTAAACATAATAAATGCTTTATTTAATTTCAACAAACGCCTAATCAATCCTCGCCCATAGCAATAAAATCCCCATCTTATTATTCAAGTTTTTCTTTGTATTTAAATCTCCTTAGAGCACGATTAACTTGATAGCGTCAGAATTGAACAAGAATTAATAAAAGTAACATAAACACTCATCCACAAAAAGCATTGTACAATTTTTCAGAGCCTGCTGTTGGTTCCCAAGTAGTCTTGACTGGCAGTGTCAGCATTTCAGCGATCTACACCGAAAACTTGCGCAAAAGACGTCACTGCCGGTAATAATAATAATCATCATCATCAGCCTATCGCAATTCACTGCTGGACATAGGCCTAGCCTAGGCCTGGCATAGGCATACACCATAATAATAATATCTGAACTGCTAGATAGTACAAATATAGGATTTAAATTAAGATGCAATAACTCATTCCACATACTCGCACACTTACTTTACATGGACGATATTAAAATTTATGCAACTAATAACACTGAACTTAATAAACTAACTGACATTACACAATCATTCTCGACAGATATTCATATGCAATTTGGGGTAGACAAATGTAAAACTCACTCAATCAACCGCGGCAAGACAGAATACAATTTTTATACACTTAATACAGGTGAACAAATAGAACCAATGGATGAACATACGACGCATAAATATTTAGGATTCCGCCAGTCTAGACAGATCCAGCAAAAACAGACAAAATTAGAGTTAACACAGAAATTCAAAGCCAGAATAAGTCAGATTTTGAGAACCCAATTAAACTCACGCAATACCATCAAAGCCATCAACACCTATGCAATACCAGTTCTTATTTATTCGTTTGGGATTTTAGCCTGGTCCCAGAGCGATCTCATTAAATTACAGCGCACAATCAACACACACATGACAACCTATAGGAAACATCACCCCAGATCGTGCACACAACGTCTTACATTACCACGGCAAGATGGAGGGAGATTTCTCATCGACATACAGAATCTACACAACAATCTTATAGATAAGTTACGCAAATACTTCTACGCCAAAGCCGGACAATCCCATCTTCATAAATTCTTAACCGATATAGACAAAAAATTAACTCCGCTCAACTTAAACGACACAAACATTCAACCAAAATTCAACAAAAGTCTCTACACGGCAGACATCTCTCCGATCTCAGCCAAACACACGTCGATAGAAAAGCGTCGAACGAGTGGCTGCGGCGTGGAGAACTCTTCCTAAAAACCGAGGCTTTTTTGATCGCTATTCAGGATCAGGTTATCGATACTCTTAACTATAAAAAACACATAATCCGTACCCCTAACCTTCCTACCGACTTATGTAGACGATGCCATAGCAGTTCCGAAACCATCCAACACATCACTGGTTCTTGTAAATCTATTGTACAAACTGATTATAAACATAGACATGACCAAGTTGCAGCAATAATCCATCAAAATCTAGCTCACAAATACTCATTTATTTCAAATAAAACTGCTTATTATAAATATAAACCCAGTACAGTTCTAGAAAATAATGCATTTAAAATATATTGGGATAGGACAATAATTACCGACAAAACCATACATTATAATAGACCGGATATAACAATACTAGACAAAACTAACAAAATAGTTCTTATTATAGACATGGCAGTATGTAACACACACAACCTCCTCACGACGCACACAGAAAAGATGACAAAATACACAGACTTAGCAACGGAAATAAAAAGGCAATGACAGGTAGATAGAGTTAAAATAGTACCCATTGTCATATCTACAACTGGTGTAGTACCGAAGACTCTTCAAGATAGCCTCAACACATTGGATATGCCAAAATCCTCTCTCATACTCTTACAAAAAGCAGTCCTTCTTAATACATGCCGTCTCACACGCAAATTCCTCGCTTCATCCTCATCATCTTAACTTCATATCATCATCCCTTTTTGGCACACTTGGCTAAGGCCCGTGTGTTAGTTAGATTTTGTTACCCCTTTAAAATATAAGGGAGACCAGACAAGGTATAAAATAACAATAACCGACAAAAACATGCACAATTTTGAATAACAAAATTCAAATAACTTTCTAACATTATTTTTTATTTAAAACAAAAAAAATGATTTTAATAAAATTAGGCACTTGCCAAAATCTCTCGTCAATTATGATTATTACTATATAATTTAGTTTTGCACGCAGTTACAGTTATTGGTTCTAGAAAAGTATATACAAGCACAAGCGACACAAGAAGCACAAGGAGGCAAAGTTGGAGAAACTTTGCCTTCTTAAGCCTAAAAGGTTTAATTTCTTTAATATTTGAATCGAGTTACAAAGTCCAAGTTGGTATGGTTGGTATCTAGGTGATTTTTCCCAGACGTAACGTACACGTTACCCCATATCTCGACGGACTGTTATTCGACAAGTCACCGGGACTTGTTTAATAAATCTTCGCTCTCTTCAACACAAAACTTTTGTATGTCGGCTTAGTTACGCCCTCTGAGTGACTTTGGAACTAAACACCTCTACTGGGCCTCAATTCTGCTATTTTATGTTCACGCCAAGCCATTAGAATATATTAAGAATATATTTTCTAATTATTGAAAATATCTTACGTTTTTATAAAATTATCAGTAGCGTGTTAGTGGTATGACAGTGGCTTGGCGTGAACATAAAATACCAGAATTGAGGCCCTGGTAATGTAGCATTACACGAATAATCTCTTGTTGGGAGATGAATAAAATGTATTAGAATAAATGAAAAATAAAACTAGTTATATACCTAGAACGTGAACTTTTTAAAACGGCAGATCCTGTAGGTACACCTAGTTAATATCATATGGATGGTTTTGAGATTTCTACCGTTCATAAAGTGAATCATCCTTACTACTTTCATGCAATTGTCATATTTTTAGATATACGCTTTAATGTAAGAAACATCGATGTTATTAATAATCGAGTAATTTTCAGTCCGGGCGTCTTAAAGTGTGTAATAATACTTAAAATTCATCTGACATTCGAATCTCAACGAAATCGCATAATTAAAATTATGTAAGTTAACGTACGTAACGTAGTAGGTCAAAACCTCCTTTATAAGGAGAGGCTTATATCCAGCAGTGGACTTTTGAAGGCTGTTGATGATGAACAAACAAACAAAAAAACAAAAATCGCTCGTGTCCAAGTCTTAGTGTATACTAAGATTTGCTAGTAAAACCTATGATGAACCATTACACGGGCTTTTAAAGAAACATAGATAGACCTGTAAATCTGTAATCGATTAGTACATACTAAGAAATGATATCGAAATCTCATAAAAATCAGTTATTTTAGTATTTGATTTCTTTGACCCCATCTCTAAACTTCAATCTGTCAGAACTTTTAAACGGTACCTCTTAGATTAGATGGACTAAAGTAACTAAAAGCACATAAACCAAAAGTTGAGTTGAGTAACTACTACGTAAACTTGTTGACAGCACTGACAACTCATTTGTGATAGCCAGCTGTCAGGACTATCGACTTCAAAGTCAAAGAGCTTATAAACATAAAAGAGGCGAACAAGGCCCAAATGCCCTCTTCAGTATTAACCAATCATTGAAGAGAGGAGAAAGAGATGCAAGGCCAAATCAAAAATCTTTTTCTGCTCCAGCTGTATACTGAAAATAAGTCGTTGGCGTACGAAAAACTACGATATGAACATAGCTGTTGTAGACGGAGTGAAGTGTGCTGAGCTCAAATACTTGAAAAATTTCGTGACTAACGTAGTTAGTACAAAGCCAGTATACAATACCCTAACTATTTACGTGATTTTATTGAAGTAAATTTCTTTACGCACGCTTGACTTGGGGAGTAAGCTGCTGAATGCGTGACGAGAGCGTTACGAAAAGTATAATCGGGCAAAGCGAACGGGAGTTGAGAGCGAGATATGAGTTAGTGAAGATAGGAAGAGATATACTCACGTTTCGTATATTACTGTAGGGACAAGAGAGAGAGGTGCGAGCACACATTTTCTTTCGCTCATAGCCAAGAAATTATACTTTAGTCGTGTGGTCTAAAGCACACTCGTTTTTTAGTCTATCTTATTCCAATTACTTTTGGCGCTTTCCTTTAAATTTATCCTACGCTTTTTTTTTAACGTGTGGAAACCTCCTCGGGCCGTCACCCCGCCGGGGATTGCGGCGGGGTGGTGTGTCGGAATCGGATTGACTAAAACCACACGGTGTGCTACTGTGTGCCTGTAATAGGAGGGATCCGTGAACTGCTGTTATTAAGACATCCGGACTCCTCCTAGCGCCTGCCCGCAACGGCGCGGCTCCTGTCATGTTAGATTGAAGAGCCACTTTTACATTGATATAACTTTGGATATTTAATATTACAAATTTCAAAATTTCTCCTACTAAATTATTTGCTAACCTCCTAAACATGGGATGAATTCCGTTTAATAGCAGTTTAAAATCTAAAGTAGCTCCTCCATCCATACGGACAAATTGATAATATTACAGGATTTGATAATATCATAAAATGATTATGGACATCGCGCTTGTTTTCCATGATGTATATATTTGGATAGAGCAACCAAAGAATATTTTGCTAATGTATTATGTTTACATAATTAAACATTTTGTTTTTCCTAAATTCTCGTTATCGAAGCTATGGATGATGGATCCATAATTTAATAATTTGGAATGGAAGTGGAAATTGACACCTATGAGTCGCGCCAAAATTAAATATGGGAAAATGCATGCATATATGCAACATGTGGTAGGTATGTTGGATTGTTGGAAGACATAAATCATCAGTTTTGTTCAAGATACTTTTATATAAAAATATCAATAATTTAACAATTTTACATTTTAAAACAATTGAAATTATTTTCATAAAGGGTAGCATCAATTATTGAAGGAAGTCTTTAAATATCACCTGCCTTTTTTTATTAGACTCATGTTTATCGTACCTACTGGATTTAATAAGACTCGTATGCTATGCTATTTTAAGATCATTGTCATTCGCACAAACACCAATGAAAGATAAAGACTAGCAAATCATAGGACATGTAAACTTCATCCAAATATTGCTCTCGCCAGTCGTTATGTTGAAGCATACATTTTCCTCGACAGTAGGTAACTAGTACAGTGAGCACGGTTAGCCACCTGTTAACATATTATGCAATATAGGTGTATTCCTCTGCGACTTCGTTAAATGTTTCTTGTTTAGAATTGTGTTTTACATAGTATTTCAAAATGATTTCAACTTTAAACTCTAAACTTGTAAGTAGATGACCAAAATATGCATCTTAACTTATTATTGAGGTTATATTGTTAGTACAGTAAACCCTTATCCCTTGTTTCTTAAGTTTTATTTCTCTATTATATTGTACCTATAACATTAGCATCAAAAAATCGTGGGTACGATTTGGTTGCTAACTAATAATTACAAATATGTTTCGATTACGTATGTGTCGTAAAACCAAACTGATATTGCTGCTGTTTGAATATCTGAACAATTGAACAATAATGTAGATTTGAACGTCGCGCGTATCGTTAATAAGTTTGATTTGAATTTTATCTTTCAAGATAAAGTACTTAATTCAAGGTCTACAGTAGGTAATTTAAACTTAAAACTAAAATCCGGCCTTTCATGAAGTTTCATGTCATTGTGTTCAAATCGAAGTTTAGAAAACTAAAGAACTTTTAACCCATTGAAGATAAGTAAACTATGAGTAATTTACAAGTGGCATTGACGGACTTTTTAGAACATAATCAAGTATGTATGACCTTTGTAAAGTTAATAACGACTTACTGGGTGGTGATTGCTGCTGGGTACAATGTATACAAAGTAGTAATCCATGACACTGAATTTAATTGAAGTCATATCAGAAACATCTATTGTCCATTACATGTAAAATGACTAGTAACCAGTCAGTAGTTTAAAGAAATAAGGGACTTTAGAAATAAGGGAAATTGCCACATTTTTTTAAAATATACATTATTATAATGATGGGACATGATAACAGTGTAAATAAATTTCTTATGGTTAAAGCAATTGCAGTTTTAAAACAAGATGTTTTGTAGGTATAAGATATAATCAGATAGGTAATTAGATTTGCTTTAGACTTACATATAATGTTAACTGTCCTGTCCTATGAACTAAATCTTAATAGTATTTAACATATACAAGCTAATTATTTGCAGATATGGCCCATAATTGTAGGAGTTGGCTCAGCAGTAGTGTTGGCAACCGTGGTGGCAAACTTATTTTGGGGAAGAAAGAAAAATGGGCCAAAGGGAAGTTCAAAACTTGTTGCGTTAGTAGACCCTAATACCAAGTATGCTCTGCCACTCATTGAAAGAGAGGAGATCAGTCATGATACAAGGAGATTCCGCTTTGCACTACCCTCGTCTGAACATGTTTTAGGTAAGTGAAAGGGTGGGCATTAGTACATAATCAACATAACGTTGTAGCCTATTTTATAATTTCTGTAACTGCGCCTGTGGAGTTTGGTTTCTGTAACTGCGCCTGACTGGAGCATTTGGTTACCAATTACATTTAGGATACCAAAACAGATCTAAAAACAAGTCATTTGACAGTGGAAATGTACACACTATTATCACTATACTTAATACAAAGAGATTTCTGCACTTGTCTTGCTGTTTAAATACTTGGAAAAGTGTCTTCATCAGCTATTTTGACTTTAATAATATAGTGCAAAAATAGTGTAGCTGTTGTAATGGTCACTGTGACCACTGCTGCTGCTATATAGTGTGCTTATTGAGAGGACTTAATAAGTTGTTTCAACCAAAACAAAGTAAAACGATATATAGGTATAAGTAATTATATAATAATCATTTTAGTCCAATATAGCATTCTAGTTTTTTCTAGGCTTACCAATTGGTCAACACATTCACCTGTCAGCTAAAATGGACGATGACCTTATCATAAGGGCCTACACCCCTGTGTCGAGTGATGAGGAAAAGGGTTATGTTGACTTGGTAGTTAAGGTAAGGTTCTGTATTTGTACTACATAACTGGCAAAATAGTTATTGTTAGGATATATATAGTGCAGTCAGATAATTATAACTGTGATGTATTTATATTCATTAATAGAAAGATAAAATCTTTCATAATAATTTTATTAGGCTTATAATTATGACATAGACTGACACAGTTAAAATAATATTATTCCTTTGCTTTGCACACAGTTCATTTAACAACTTCATTCCTGGTAACCATTTTTAAACAGTATTTAGGCAGAACGGAGTATGATATTTGGATTGCTTAAATCTTAATTTGTTTGTAAAAGTGTAGCAAGAAAAACCATGTTTAATCTCAGATACGTTGAATGTAGTGAGTTCGAAGGTATAATATATGATTTCATCCAAAAACTTCAGATATATAGTGAGGCGATAGGTATATAATTATATCTTAGCTATAAATATGTCTGGATGTATACTAACTAGTACTTACTAAGTATACAATAACCACTAGCGTTTTTAAAGTGAGTACCTTTTAAGCATTTAATAAAATAATAAAAAATTTAAAATTTAAATCCATCACTAATGTTTTGTGGAATCCCTTGGATTCCCCCTCCCCGACAGTCAGGCAGACAGGCCGGTGGGGTGATTATGTTTGACTTGAACCGACTAAAACCGCACGTCGTCTTGGTTACCAGTAGCTGGGAAACCAGGTGTAACCTAGAATAGTAATCACTGGTACTCCGACCCCGACCGACCGAGCCATAGGAACTACGATGTTCCCTTCTTACTCCTTAACCTCCTGTCTCCCCCAGGCCTGCGATTATGGAAATGGGAGGGTGTAGCGACCTCCGTCCCGAATCGCCTGCGGTTCCTGACCCGTTCTCGGGCCTGGCAGACCGGGAGAACTCCAAACTTCTCCCGGTCCCACCCCGCTCTTTCCTTCGCGAGCATAACTTGCTCTCAGAGGGAGTGGCAATGAACTACTACATACTATTAGTTTAGTAATATTATTAAATTCTTATACCTATGTACTTAAATTATTTTGTTACCAAACGAAAGATAATATTGTTTTTGAATAATTATGTTCATATATTCAAAAAGCGAAAACAAGTTAGTCATACGTACGTAGGAGTACGTTTGACATTGGCAATAAAAATGTTAGCAGAATGTTTATTTTACCTCATTTATATTTATGAATCTAAAATATATTTTAACATTCTGCAATACATCCTTCATTCGTAAACTTAAGATATTGTGGGCGCAACACACAATTATATTCTTTACACATTAAAGAACTTTAAAAGAATTATTAGGTACCTACATAAGAGACAAATAATCACAGGCCAATTTTTTTCCCTGAGATAGTAATGAACAGGGTTTACTTAGTTTAAAGGCTTGTAGTTCAGTTAAGGGTTTGCTTAGCTGAACTCGGGTTGGGCGGTATTTGATTGGTTTTGAGGCAAAAAAAAAAGATATTTAAGCCAACTCAAAGTCACTTAAAAGCTGACGACTTGAACTTTAAGATACATAACCTCAAAAATGGGCAAAAATGGCGTTTGCACTTTTAGGTTAGAATATCTCAAAAACCTGACGTGGTAGAGCAATTCTGCAGCCGGATTTAGATGCAGCATACCAAAATCCCACTAAGAAGTATACTCTTGTTTCTGGGGGAAAAAAAAAAAAAAAAAAAAATTCCTTCCTAGGGTACACCTGGTTCTCTACTGGTACCCGGGACAGCGCGCCTGCGGTTTTTAGTTGGTTCGAGTTCGATATAACCATCGGTGGTTGGTATCCGAGAAGATTTCTGCCCTGAAAAAAAAGAAATAGGCTTCTCTTTCTTCGATATGTACAATGATGGCATTATGTAATAAGTACGTATTGGTATTAATTAAGTCGATGAATTTTTTATAGCGAGATGCAGGAAAACTTGAAATTTCACTTGAAAGTAGTTCTGTTATAATGGTCATTCCTATTATATTCATGCAAAGCTTATTATATTCATGCAAAAATGCATCAAAATTGGCACAATATGCGAAATTAAATGATAAGTTTTAGAAACCCCAAAAATGAAGGAAAGTGGGTTTTAATTTTATTTCAAAATCAGCATACAATAAGTAAACTTTCCATTGATAGACGATAATAGGTTGAGGATCGCTCCACATCCACTAGGGTGAATTTGAACTTGTAGCACTTGTAGTTTCTGAAAATACTAATCTGCAGAGCGAGCAAGTCGCTCTGTGCGCTGCGCTCGAAAAATATTGTAAATGTGTCGATAATATGCACCACAACTAGATCTTAGGTAAAATATGCTATTACCGCTGAGGATGGCATAAATATGCATATATGCTGGTCCCTTGTCATTGCTTTTCTTATGGAAGTCGTAACATGTTTTGTGCTTTTGTCTATAAATAATCAGACATTAGAAACTTAAATTAGCGCCTTACAACTAACGAACTTCTCAGCATTATAATGCTCTTATTAGTCCTAAAAATTAAAGCAATGCACGCAATGTGAAGACCAAGGTCAGACAGCATAGCTTGGCTTTGTTTTCCAGGATTGAGAGAGTTCCATTGTTAACAGGGGTTTTCAGACCAGTGGATGGTTGTCAACTGGTTCTCTGAATTATAATCGGTATCGGCAATCGCCATATTTACGAGTACTTTCATGTAAATTGCAATTGTTATTTTGTGTAAATATTTCAGGTATACTTTAAAAATGTACACCCCAAGTTCCCGGAGGGAGGCAAGCTGTCGCAATATTTAGAGAATATGAAACTGAATGACACCATTGATGTTCGAGGGCCATCCGGTAGACTTCAGTACACAGGCAATGGTCTATTTTTAATTAAGAAGTTGCGAAAAGACCCACCCACTAAGGTTATGGTTAAAAAGTTAAACATGATTGCGGGTAAGTTCGTTTATGTATATAGTGTTTCTAATGTTATTGAAATTATAGACAACAAGCCTTGAAGGCGTTGGTTGCCCAACTTGTGGTAAAATTCAGAGGGAGATAGAAAACTGCTTATGGCCGAATACACTACACTTCATTTTCTCCACTGTCTAGTTGTCATAGTGTTTTATTGTGTATGCTTAACACTGCAATACGTGTATGTGTGTTTAGTGTGTGTACAAACTGATGAATATTTATTATGCATCAGTTTTTAACCGACTTCAAAAAAGGAGGAGGTTACTCAATTCGACCGTATATATGCTTTTTTTATGTTTGTTCGCGGATAACTTCGTTGTTTATGAACGGATTTTGATTATTATTTTTTTGTTGGAAAGAAGATACTTCAAAGGTGGTCCCATGTTCAGGAAATCAGGATTTGATGATGGCAGCTTTTTAGTTTACTGTTTGAAGTCGGTTTTTTTTTGTTAAAAATTATACTTGTTGTTTTAATATTGATCTTTTTGCTCCGATTCGTTTTTAGATCGCTAATTTCTTATGTTAAGAAACATCAGGAGAGAGTTTGTTTCAAGCAATATAAATAATTAGTAATATTCATATGTACGTTTAAAGATAGTAGTAGTGCCGCAAAAAATGCATAGTATTTAGATTGTGTAATAATGAGCACCTGATATGAATAGTTATCTTAACAAGTCTCACGTTTGAATCTTGTGATACTGTTATATTAAGAAATGCGTCATTCGTTATATTAGTTAAACAAGAAACATTGTTAGACTGCGCATTACATTATTTCAAGCCGTTCATTACAGTATCGAATTAGAGTTCACCACTAACATACCACTTTATTACAGCGACTCACTCTTATCTTCCCTTTATGATTGTAACTTACTCGTCTAGTACTACTTCTACTAGTATACAAAGAGTTTCGATCTTCAGTTGAAAGTTAAAGAAAAGGGTCTCGAACGTCTACATCTTACAATTATAAGGTTTATTATTCTAATTGCTTCATTTTATACAAATAAACATGTTATGCTGTTCATGGGAAAGGTATGCATAATTATATTGAGAATCACGAGGTACATGAATTTAACTAAAAGTTTGAGAATGCGTAATAGTACGACCTAGGATTCAAATAAAATGAAAAAAAAAAATGGAATAAGAGATTAATATCTATCTATGCTTCTAGAACTCAAAAAGTTCTACTCCTATTGAACTTTTTCACATAAACAAACCGCTTCAAAGAATGTTTTTACATATTTTTTGCGTTAATTTTTTTCCTCACTTCTCATCAATGTAACCACAATGTGGCACAGCGAAGCGTGGCAGGGTACAAGAATAAAAATAATGGATATCGTACGGACAACGACACGATAGCATGATAACCTTGATGACAACGTTGTCGGCTCATATCATAAAACCATATACTTACTTAGACTTGTCTATTTATTTATTTTGTCAACAATCCGAGATTTTATTGTATATGATAATATTTGCTTCATTCTAATGAAATATAACATTGTTATCGGTTAAAGATACAATAATAAAGTAGTTTCAAATATCATTTTTACTTGTATGGACAGGTGGTACCGGCATCACTCCAATGCTTCAACTTATACGACACATATGTAGAGACGCCAACGATAAAACCCAAATGCGACTGTTGTTTGCCAACCAGACGGAAGAAGACATCTTGCTAAGAAATGAGTTGGAAAAGTACCAAGCCGAGTATCCGGAACAGTTCCAAGTTTGGTATACAATTGACAGACCTAATGAAGGTAAAACGGTGATATTCTCTTAGATACATGAGGTAGATATCGGATTGCAAGCACACAAGGAGAAACCCTGAAGTCATGAAATAGTAAAGAACTATACTAACTATTACATTTTAAATAATGAAATGGTGCGTCATGTAATGTAATAAATATTGACGACGCAGATTTCTGATAATATAATGAACGTTTGATGATAACCGAATTTAGCGACTTAAAAGGCTACTGGCTTAAAAAGGCAATGCTACCTCCGATAAAAACCTATCATAAAAATTGCTTCGGCTATAATTTTGGGTTTTATATATTTTAACGATATTTGTATTAAGATTTGTAGTAAGATAATCGAATTAAATATTAGTACTAGTTTTAGTATAAAGATTAAATTAATTTTTTTATTGAATACTTTCAGGATGGAAATACAGCGTCGGATTCATCAACGATGAAATGGTCCGTGATCATTTACTGCCGCCATCTGACGATGGCTTAGTACTTATGTGCGGACCACCGCCCATGATCAACTTCGCTTGCAAACCGGCTCTTGAGAAACTTGGCTACAAGGAAGAACTGTGTTTTGCATACTAGTGTTATTCCTCAGAGTGCTACAACTATCTGTTTACTTTCTGCTGCAGTAGTTTGTTGGAATTTAGACTGCTTGAACTTACGTCGTCTTTATTTTTTTATTTTACTACTTAAAGGTAATGTGTGATTGTAGAGTTTAAGCTGACATGTTAAAAAATAATCTATTTTTTGTCACATTTTTCAGATATTGTCGGTGCAAGTTGTTTTAAATTAGTGGTGGTATAAATGACTAGACTTAGAGCGATTCGGTCGATCTTATAATCTCGGAATGTTGATATTTTAGTAGTAGGTGTTTCTAAAAAAATTATAGACGAGTTTTCAGTAATTGACAATAAATGCAGTTAAATTGTGTCGGGTTAATTGCCCAGGCAAATCTTTTTTTTTATATTACACATGTAATGTTTTTGTAAAGAAGAAGAGTTTAGTGAGTGCCTGAGTTAGATATAAAGAGGACAACATAAACTCCAGACAGCTGAATTTCTCCCTGATGGTTCTTAAAAGGACTTGGCAGTCGATTCAGGGTCGATATTTGATATTTTGAAGCCAAAATGCTACCAGACGCACAGACTACTAAGTTTGTGAAAACTAGGTAATAAACAACACCTTGCCGCAATAATAATAATTTATTATTAATTTTTTTTATTAATTTTACATGAAGCTATTCTATTTTTTGATACATGACACACCTTAAGAAATCAAACATTCACATTTTAATATTTATTAGTCAAGATTTGTTTCTTAATTATTAAGAAAAAAAATAACAATAATAATCTTGTTTTTATTATTAAGTGACTTTAATTCTGAATTAATTTCAAAATAGACATATTTTAAATAATATTAAAATAATATACCTCAACCGCAGGAAAAGTTTTACTTATTTTGTTATAAATGAAAATATTCCTACCATATTTGTTATATGCTTTAAATAAAGTAGCTAAGTCTACCATCAAACAAAGGATTGCAGTCTGAAATCTGTTTCATCTTTTAGTACAAAAGTGGATGCGTTGTAGATTTTTTAAGTTTCTCACTAAAAATACTTTTACAATTTTACGCTTTTAGTAAGTTGTTTCTTATATTTGCATTTAATTTTTGTTGGTTTTGTTGTATTTAAGTATATTTCTTGTTGAATAGCGTTAGTCCTAATTATTTTTCAAGATCATATTACTATTTTTTACAAAACAATGGGAGTTATTCGTCTTGTTGAGCTTTGTTATTAACATTTTATATTTGGTAATAGGTAACCCTTATAAATGGGTGTTTGATCACAAAAATTGACAATGTGTCACAAATATTGCAGAGGGAAATATATGTCTTTTACAAAAAGGTTGTTTCTTTTTATTTATATTGATAAGTAACAAATTGTAAACGTGGTTTGATTTCTTTCTTACTTACTTCTCTTTCTTACTCTAGATAATATTTTATGGTGCACTAGAACATCTGCGGCTTACGCACTACGTCTATCATATCTAGACCGCACGATTTTTTTTTTCGTATTCTTATACCTTCGAAGTGTGTGGTCTCAGCGTTAAGACAAGTGGGTAGGCTGCATCATATTGCAAGGGGCCACATCAACTCTCTCTCTCGACGGCGAACGGCTTCACTACCCTCACTTCACCAATCGCAACGCTAAACGCGTACACCGTGATGATCGAGTTGATGTGAAATTAACTCACACTGAACAGAGAACAACAAGAAGAGGTATTTTGTGTGACGGTACATTTCAAGCGCCGTCATTTATACCTAGTCAAAGCCGAATCAAACCTTGGAATCTCCATCGCTGTGTAAATGGTGTGGTTCCAGAGAAATAACTTCGACTTCAGGGATGGCGTAGTGATTGAAGCGGTCACCTCGCGCTTCCTACTACGGGTTCGATACCCACATGGGACAACACTTTGTGTCATCCACAATTTGCTGTTCTGAGTCTGGATGTTTTTTGTGTCCGTTTTATATATGTTTGAGAAGTCTCCCGCGACACAGGATATATTCCTAGTATGGGAGTTGTCTTTTTTAAATGAATAATTATTAGATATACATTATGAAATTATGTCATGCTTGAAAACTCGTGATCTTTATTTTTAGATATACTCTATGGAATAAGTAAATATATCTAAATAATTTTAATAAAAAAATAACTATTGTGTAAATTCATTATACTACAAAAACACGAACTGAAGCTGTGTGAGTATGAGAGTGGTGACTAGCATAAACATTTCTAGCAGAACATTAGCATCCAGTTTCCACATTTCGTATACTGATAAGCGTGGTGGTGTTTCTTCTATTAGTTTCAACATTCTTTTTGCTTTTTCTCTTAATGGCCCTGAAATAACTAATAACTGTTACTGTTTATATCCACATATATATATATATACCACATACCTACCATATATATATAATTAAGTATATGGTATTTTAAACTATTTTATCTTCAATCTTAGAGTAGAATCATCTATACATAAATATTGCCTGATATACCTACATAGGAATATAAAATCCACAAACCTATATTATCTTTTAAGTTTCCTATGTTAAAACAAACCTCGTCTTTCTACTTGGTTAAAAATCGTTTAGACTATTTAGATGTTGGCCCGATGTTCTTGTCAGCAGATTTTATATAAATATATATTTCTATAATATTATGAAAGAGTAGAAAAAAATGATAGTTTTTTGTCTTATCTCCTGGTATCTTCGATACTCCGAACTCTCATCTCAACACTTAAAGACCTTAATAAGTCGGTATTAAGTATGTAGGCACCTTCCTGGCTGAGGTCCTCGCGCTCAACATGCATGTAGTTATTAGGTAGGTACAGATATTTATATTTACCTTCAAATTGAAGAGACATAATAGTAATAGTCAAGCGTTTAGTTCCTTTTACCTCTCTCAGGAATAATTCACAGCGTATAACTAGAATCAAAGCCACTAATACGTCGATTACAGTGAATACTGCCGGTGTTAAGCTATCCGTAAGGTCCACGTTCTGTAATCAAGACGAATGCATTTAATAGTTTTACGTAACATAAATAAATGGTAAAATAATATTACAAGAAGTAGTTCAAATGTTATATAGTTTTTACCTGGTGGCACTCCGAATAATAACATTTGAAAGGTCAAAAATGCAATGTTTTTTTCAGGTTTAAGATCGTTTATTTCTCACAAAGAATAACATAAACTATTCACTTACATGAGAAAATCAAATTACAGTTTCATCGATTTAGCTGTGGTACAGAAGAAAGCAATTCATACAAAACATCAACAAATGATTTCCTACACAAATATAGTGATACAGAAAAAAGCAATTCAAATAAAATAATTTCTTACACAAATATAGTGAGGGTAACTTAAAAATATTATACATTCCAAACATTTGTTCATCCACGCTTGCAGTAAATACAGCGATCGAGCGTGCCTAGAAGTGACAAAACTTTTTGTACACACTACAATTTACTTTTACATATTTTGCACTATGAGAACTATTTTCTGCTAGTAATGGTAGTAAATTGTAGTATAAATTTTTATAATACAATGAACTTAGTACATATTTCGTTGATTACTAATTGAATTATTATCTGTATATCTTATTTGTTAGCGTTGTATATATATGTGATTGCGTTGATTAATTTAGATTAAATTAAATATTTTTATTGTTAGTATTAGTGCATGTAGTATCATTATTAGTTTAACTATTTATTAAAACGAACACAATACATTCACACAAATATATAAACCCACAAATTTATGCAATAAAATATATAAATTAATGCAGTAGATAAACATTATAATTTATAAAATTGTTTTTTTTTTGTGCTTATATTATTTATCAATGATGTGATACTTTAATAATTTTTTTTTTTTTTTTTTTTTTTTTTTTTTTTTTTTTTTTTTTTTTTTTTTTTTTTTTTTTGAAAGTGTGTATATTTTTCGCAGCTTTTACCACATTAGGCAGCTGATTATAGATTTTAGCACCTTCATACATAATACAACTCTTTCCATAATTTGTTCGCGATTTTAACAGAAATATATCATTCCTACTCCTAAGACCGATTCTATGCACATCCTTTTTTTTATTAAATTTTATTTGCGTATGTATATTATTAGTTAGTATTTTTCTAATGAGTATACAATTTTTATATTTGTATGTCTGTAGAACAGTCATGATTTTGGTTTCCTTGTAGATTTTTTGATTTGACGTGAGAAAATCGAAATGAAATAATTTCTTTATTAGTTTATTTTGTGCTGTTTTTTTCTAATAGTAAAAGTAATCTTCAGTAATTATCACACATTTAATGGTCAGTCATGATTAGGCACATGTTATGATGGGTCAGGTCCAACCGGAGTTATACCACAGCCTCACAGAAAACCGGGTATTAGCAGCCGGTAGCATTGGGTACCAGTTCTTTCATTGCTTTTCAACGAGTGAGTTACTGCAGCCCAAATCCTCCCCCTCTCCCTGATTCTGGGGGGAGACTGAAAGAGTGGCATCGCACTTGTGACCCTAAAGTTGTAGGTGTCCATGGGTGGCGGTATTCATCAGGATACCCGTCTGCTTGTTTGCCACCATACCATAAAAAAAATATCGGTTTTTAGTAGCTTAATTAAACTAAGTTCTAATTTAGTTTTATTTATACCGTTTAAATAAATTGCACCAGATGGAAACTTAGAAATTTATAGTATAGTTTATAGTATATTACGAGTATTGTAAGTAAATTTAATATAGGTACAGGACTTACATCGTTTTGTGCTGCAAATAGTACAAACTCGAATGCCAGTAAACACGAAGCAACCAGCTTGCAGCAAAATAAGAAAATCTGTAAATGTTACGTAATATACTGATAACAATAATTTATATACAGTGTGCTATAGAAGGTAGAGAATGCATTAAGGCATTTAAATCCGCCATGCACCTAATGTGCATAACGTGTAAATAAAATAAAATAAAAGTGTGTGTGTGCAATTCACACACGGAAGAAGTGAAACTGCCGAAAATATATTTTTTTATCTCAGAAAA